ACTGACACTGCCCTTAAGGCTGCATCGTATTCTTTTGGCGTTTTGTAGTAGCAGTAAAAACCCAGGTAAATAGATAATAATAGACAGTGATCCTCAGTCAGGAGTTAGATGTACGTACTAGTGATTACATCTACGGTTAGCTTAATAACGTAGAACAGGATATGAAAAACTAGAAAATTATTTCTAGTCTTAGAGAGTGACGAAAGGCAAGTAACTTCGTACGCGAAAAACCTGGAGGCTTGACGCTTACAAAGAAGGTTCAGCTTGAATTGAGGATGACGCAGGGAGTGTTGAAAAGTAAAATTGATAGGTGTAACCTTAAGAGACAAGAAGAGAGCAGAGTGGGTGAGAAAACAACAACCCGGTGTTAATGATATCATAGTTGAAATCAAGAAGAAGACATTGGCATGGGTTGCGCACGCAGCACGCAGGCAGGATAACCGCTGGTCAATAAGGGTAGCTGACTGGATTCCTAGAGAAGGCAAACGCACGAAGGGGACCCAGAAAGGTAGATGGGCCGATGAGATTAGTAAGTTCTCAGGTATAACGCAGCAGCAGAAAGCACAAGACCGGGTCATTCGGCGGATCATAGGAGAGGCCTTTGCTCTGCAGTAGGCGTAGTCAGGCTGATTATCATGAGTATGATGATGATAACATAGCAGAGCAAATCTCACAAGACCAAGTTGATTGGCAGATCATGAGAGAGGGATTTTTTCTGCAAAGGGTTGATGATGCCGGCATTCTATCATTGAGCATGATTCTACTACGCCAAATGTTTTTGTTAAGAGCTGTCGAGAGTCGAATCCACCACCTCCATGTTAATTAACAATGTTAGAAGATTTTGAGTACGAGGTACTCTACTGTGGGAGAGCTTGTCCCAGTCATGTAACTTCAAAGAACTAAGCTGTGTTTAGATAAATTAGTTAACAATTTAGAGTACTCGGTACTTTACTAAGGGACAGCTGAAAGCCTTCCCTTAGGCCTCACACTTGACAAGGCCACATCGACAAAAATACGCTCGAGTCAGGCCCGGGCTCTCGGGTATTATTGTTGACAAAAAGTTAACCATTTAGGTTACTAGGTACTCTACTATGGAAGAACATAAAGCCGTCCCGAGGGCCTCGCACTTGATGAGGCCCTGTTGTCAAAAATTATGGATATGGGCAAACGCCCGTACCGCTAATGGAGAACGAGAAAGACGTTGACACAGAGGAACGCTTGTGATCTGTATTTAGAAAAAGTGTCTAACGACTTAGAGTACTTGGTACCTACTATGAGAGAGCCTTACTCCATTCTGTTAGCCTCACAGTTGATTAGGCCGTACTACTTGTGATGTGTTTAGAAAAATTTATTGTCACAGACGTCAATAACATTTCAACAAAACATTTTCTTTTTAGATATACAATAACGATGATGACAAAACAGACTTCATTCACATGAACATGAATATGAGATGACGTGGAAAGAACACGTGTTTAGCAAAAACTGGTGAACACTTCAGAGTACTTGGTACTCTACTATGAAAGAGCACTAGGCCATCCCGTGGGCATCTAATACACAAAGGACACATAGAGATACCCTGCCCTACGTGTTTAGAAAAAGTACGGTTTAGAGCACTAGGTGCTCTACTATGGGAGAGCTGTGTGCCATCCCTGCTGAAACATGGCTTTTTTAAAACAAATGACTGGTATTCGTGTGTTCAGAAAAAGTGGGTAACGATTTAGAGTACTAGAGGTACTCTACTGTGGGAGAGCATAGAGCCATCCCGTGGGCACCTCACTTGATGAGGCTCATTTGACGTACGTAGCCGACGTCCAAGCGTAGCCTTCAACACCCAGGCAGAACAACGTCGTTTAGCCATATTTTAGCTTGCGTGCAATGGCTGCAAAGCAAATGGACCACCTATGCCGCACAAGTTACACGCCACACTCGACCACATTTTTTTTCAATAACGGCACGAAATTTAGCGTTCACCGTTAAATCATCATACGGATGACTCATTAGATGTTACATTGTTTGTTTGTATAAATTCAGCGCACTAAAAATAAATCCCAACAGCGACATTTTCTTTGTAAAGCTGTGTACCCCAAGGTAACCTACGCATGTTGTTATCTATAGACAAACATTGAGAAAGATACTCTACAAGCTCTATTGTTGGCTGTCCTTAGCGAAGATACTTATTAGGGGCGAAGCTCCTTATAGCGGCACCCGTTCATCCCTCGTATTCGTAGTAGTAGAGTGTAAACAGTCTTACATTTTGACCTCGAAGGTGGTGCCGGGGAGAGATTTCTTCTGTGCGTTGTTGAACAATAAAAAATTCGCAGCGTGTGCGTTAACTAAAAACCGAATTCTCCTGTCTCTCATTCCTCCTTAGCAGCCATTGGCATGTACATTGAGCACTATCTGACAATAAAGGGTTGCTACGTTATACTCGCTGGGCGTAACCTCCTTGGTTTCAGAAAGGTTTAGCGCTCGTTGGGCCGCAGCGCCATGAATATACAATGAACTAGTACATACCATGAGCTCGAGGTGGTTAAAGGTGGGAAGTAAACACGAAGCGCAAGCCGTAAGAAAGTAAAAGCCGAATTCTCCTGTCTATAATATCCCATTAGTAGCCATTGGTATGTACATTGAGCACTATCTGACAGGAAAAGGTTGCTACGTTATACTCGCTGAGCGTGACCTCCTTGGTTTTAGAAAGGTTTAGCGAGCATTGGGCCGCAGTGCCATGAATACAGTGAACTAGTATATACCATGAACTCGAGGTGGTTAAAGGTGGGAAGTAGACCCAAAGCGCAAGCCGTAAAAAGTGCGCGTGTGCCTCCTCTTGTTCAGTCCTTGGAATGTCCGCTGGATGACGGTGCTTCTATATGAGGAATATAGGATGAAAATATGCGAGATGGTGGTACATGGAGTGTTGAATAGGTGGACGAACGGACACACAGACAGATGCATGGACGGACGCGCTGATGGCTGCACAGACGGATGGACGCATGGACGGACGCAGGAGCAGATGAATGGACGAAAGCAGAGACGGACGCAAGAACAGACGCACGCACGGGCGGGCGTATGAACGCATGGATGGTTGCACAGACGGACGCATGGACGGACGGAAGCAAGAACGAATGGACGGACGAATGCTTCACCCCATTCTCCATCATTCACTCCGTGGATAGGCTGTCATTTTTTTTCCACGAGCGCGTCTTGCCTAAGCTCGTTTCAAATCAACTGCAAAGCGATGACGAAGCAAAATAGACGCACTGTCACGCTCCGCTATATGGACGCCCGCGCATGTGGGGTTGAGTGGGAATGAGGCGGCTCATACCTGTGCTCAGGGAATGACCGGCCGAGCACAGGCCTCTGATGGCGCCTTAGACCACGCGGCCTTTTTCAGCGCGAGAGATTGTCTTTTGACCTTCCATGATATAACAAATCACTACCGCCTACAGTGCACTATATACCCCCCCTTACATCATGGAGTTTCGCGCTACCATGAAATACTATGGCGCCAGTTACAGACCCGTACGTTTCCTACCACATCTTTTCGCCATCTTATATACCCTGTGATATACCCCTCCCGTTTGTGCATTTTCTGTCAACAAAGAGCTAACCTAGACCATATTATGTGGGGGTGTACTCAAAACCCACCCCCTAATTCTCTACACATTAATAGTAAGGAGCAGTGGGAGGCTGTTATGTGCAGCTCGGCGCCCGAGGTCCAGGACCTGATCTTTGATTGGGCCAAGACGGTAGCGGAGACCTACGCTGGGTAGGCTTCTCTGACACTCCACCACCGCATTTTTCCCTCTTGGGATGAATAAAGTTTTTCTCCTCCTCCTCCGCTGACTCGACTTCACTACAAAACCAGAGGTGCGCTGGGGGGGGGGGGGGGGGCAGAGCACTGCGACAGACGCATCTATAGCGTCGCAGAAGACGAAACAATAAGTGTTTCTGACCTAATACTGTACTCTTATTTGCATAAATAGATAATGCGTACTTTTGAGATAAAAACAAGCACGTTTCTTTTCAAGTGTTGAAAAACATAATTATATCTTGATGCCAAATTTGGAACGGAATGGCAGAGTGATGAGTACCCTGGTGGTTAAACTTGTCCATGTTCAACTTCTACGCCACGGTCACATAACCTTTTTGCAATAAAGTTTGCATACAAAAGAATGTAGCAAGTTTTATTTTAATATAACTTTATATAATTTTGTTTTACACTCGGAAAAGAAGCGTCGCGAATCTCAAGAACGTTATCCATCCGAAGCAGATCCGAAGCCTCTACTTCCCATCATTCCCATGCGGGTACAAGCGCCGCTGAAGGAGCCCGCGTAGACACTAGCGCCAGATTCCACTGAAGGTCTTATTGTATAAAACTCTAGCTGTAGGCTTAGTGGGGCGCTCCTCGAATCTCAGAGGACCTACATTTTGTGATTGTGAGGGTTGCTTATCTTCCATAGCTCGCGCCACTTGACCATGCAGTAGTGCCGGTTTACATGTTAGTCGGCACCACGCTACGCCTTCGCGCTTTGTGTTTCCGAACAGAGTAAAAATGTGATTTTGTACTCTGGTTGCACATTCTAGCGAGCAGGAGTTTCTTCTTTTTTTTTTCACCGGTAGTTGACACGCCTGGCATGTCTACAGGTGATCGGTGACAGGCTTAAGCAAATCGCCTGCAAAAACAGAGTGCGGCTTTTCCGCGCAACTATGGTTGCTAACCAGGCAAGAAGGCAGAAACATGCACTACTCTGCTCCCGTAGGGAGCATATTCAGTGACTCTAGCTCCAGCATTGGGCTAGCGACGGCCCCTGGTTACAGGACGCAGAGACGTGCTCAAGCGTCTCTCTTCTGTGCACCTATCCAACCAAAGCTCCTGGGACCCCACACTGATCTTCTCTGGGCAGTTCTAATACGCGTCACCTACCCCCACCCCACCCAAACATGCAATGCCTGACCCAGTTTGGAAACTCCTATGGTGGGTGCCCATCGTGACTCACTTTACAAGACCGTCGTCGGTGCTCGATGCTCGTCGAGACTTGCCATCACGCGACTTGCTCCTCTTGCGGCTCTTGCTCCCTGACGGCCCCTGTGAATTCGCGTGGGTCGTGGTTGTTTCGCCATCAGTTTTGTTCGCGGCCTCCATGGCTTAGGTGTAAAACCGTCGTAACCACTCGCAGTACTGAGCAAAATAATGTCACTGGCGATGGCAGTGTGGTACGGACCCGCTGTGGGCGATGACGAAGAAGATTATGACGGAGGTTCAACATGGTTCAATTCATCTACCAAGTTTAAAAACTACGAAATATTGACCAATACCCCCGACAGGGTATGTGCTTTATTGTTTTAAAACTCAAACAAACAAACGAACAAAGGTGAGGACTTTAGAAAAATGACGTCAACAATCCTCTCAAATGTAGTGGACGATCATCACAGGAATGGAAACACACGTTTGGATAAGGTGGTGACTTAAATCAAATTCCAATTGATGGCTTCTGTTTCCCGATAACCTTCTTCCTATTCTTGATGAATCGTTCTGAAGAAACACCTCTTAAAAAATCGGGCGGGCGCACTGATGTGCGCCCGCCCGCAAGACTGAAAAGAGCGGCACTCGTCGCCTTGCCCTCCTCCTTTACCTCCTCCTCCGTTTCTCACCCCCTTGTTATTCCATGGCTACGCTATACTTTGTTTCTCGCTCTTCAAATTTTTTTGTATTTTTCTTTCCTTCTCTTTCTTTCCATCTTTTTCTTCTTCTTTGTCTTCCATTATTTCTGTTCCTTTCTCTTCCACTACCTCTCGCTAATATCAACGCAATCATATGGTTCGCGTAAATGCTCGTTCTGCTGTCATGTCTGGGAAGTCGAGTGATTACGACGCTCGCGTTCAAACCGTGGGCAGCACGGTTCAAATATTGCCCCAGCAAAAATTTTATTTCGTTTCGTTCATTCCTTATCTTTCTACTCTCCACTTCTCGTTTTCTCTTCTACTTCTCCTCATCTACCCTTGCCCGAACAGAGAGCCTCCCTCCTCTTCATTAGCTCCTTGACTCAGCACTCCTAGATTCACTAAGCTCTATACTCTCAGCCATCCAAGACTCCAACCTCCTTCCCAAGGAATCGAGTCGTGCTAAGAAAAAATAGTATAAAAACAAGAATACGAGAAACAGGACTCAAAACAAAAGTAAATGCATTCTTACTCCATAGTTATTATTGAATGAATAGTAAAATAAATCATAAACTATATGATACAACTAAACCAAGCGATCAAAAAAATTATTAGGGATATGTATTGTTTAGCAGTGACAAAAACTTATATGGTGAATATTTATGCGTAGTGACTTCTTAGGAATTAAGAAAGATGGCGACAGATGACGCATTTATTGTCTGACGATATTACCCCTCTGCCAATTCCGCGGAGAACTGGAAAATATTGGACATTACTTTTTGTCATGTCCAAGATATTCTCGTATTAAAACTCGACGTCTCATTAGTCCTCTTTTAAAAATAGGCTTAACCTTATCGGCGGAAAATGTTTTAAGCTTCGATGCCTCAGGCTTGGCTAACTGCCACAGGGATGCCTTTGATGCCGTGTGTCATTTCATTTTAACTACCCAACAAGTACCATGTTGTTCTTTTATTTAAAATTCTTCGTCATTTCAACGCGGTAAAACCTAAGTTTTCAAAATTGTTCCCATCAGGTTTATACAGCAGTCCGGAATACAAGCTCGAAAGCATAATACTTGTAGTTTACATTACACGTATTATGTATTATTGCCACTTTATTTCTGTGTTTTTTTTCATTGACATATCATTTCTAAAATAACAAAGTCTCAACGTCGCATTCTTGGCTAATCCCTCAAAGTGGGTCAGAGCCATATAATAAGAAAAACAAACAAATGAGCCAAGAAATTAACAAACGTTTTTTTTTTATATTTGGCGAAAAACTTAAGGTAAGCTACATTAGAGCCGGTTCTCCCAACATCATGGCAGTAATGTACAAGGTGAACACAAAAAGAAAAAAAATAGGAATAAAAAAGAAGAAAAAAACCTAATTAGAGGGACTATGTATGTACATAATATGAACACTATAGGGCTTGTATTTCATGAATGAGCACAGTATTTATGAACATGGTCCAATTCATATATCACTATCGCATTGCGGATAGAGTCCGTACAAATAGTGGCAAGGCGTAATATGAGCTAAAGAAAGTTAATTAAATTCGTGTTTCGTAAAAAATCACAGAGGGCGCTCACTGCGCGCCTTTGATGATAGGAATGTGGCCACGGTCCAAGTGTTATTCCAATCGTAAATGGTCGTCAGTCAAGTCACTTAAAGCGATCACTCAGTTCAGCGCGTTGTTCATCATATTGCGGATATTCTAGAAGGATATGCTTCTCTGACGCATCGACATAATCTCAGTGGTCGTAGTGCGGGGACGTTCTTCTCTTTATGCGGCGCAATAAGTGAGGTGTGTAGCAGCACCTAATCGTAGACGGTGCAGTAGTGCGGTATGTGGTCTATCAACCTTTTGATTAGGTGAAAATCAAAGAGACTGTTCTGTTTGATATAAGAGCGATGACTGTATTTTTGTCGAACCAAGCGTCCTTGCATAATTTGTGGCACAGTTCAGAAAGAACCAACTTGCTTTCTGAGAAATAAACGGGCGCCGGTGTCAAGTGATCTTTTTTGGGTGCTGCAGTGGCTCATTTGTCACAAATTTGATTTCCTATCTCTCCTGTGTGACTTGTAAGCCACTGAAAACAAATAACCAATGGTAATTATTTTAAAGATTTCATATATTATGCTAACATCTATATGAAAACAAAATCATTTAGAGTCAGAACGTATTACCTAGTTTTGCCTTTTTCTGGTTCTCAAGAATGAATTTCGAAGCTTTTAATATTGCAACAAGCGCCGCTACTGTAGACGATGTCTTTCGAGAACGTTTGAAGTCTTTTTTTTCTAATTTATATGCGTGTATATGAAAAGCCGCAGCGGAGCTTTCGTTCATTGTAGAGCCATCCGTGGAACCAAATGTGAAACGTTCTCGATAATTTCGCATTTGTTGAAGCGCTAGAAATTTTGCTTCAAAGTAGTGTACGAGAATTTTTTTTTTATCCCTTTGATTTCCGATGTAACTGGAGGCGATGGAAGCTGCCAAGGAGAAAAATTGATATGTGGACGCAACAAATACTTTGTTTTATTTAGGTGCCGCCTCATAAGCTCGCTATGTGTCACCAGTTCATCCGTTTTTTTAACAAGTTTTTTATGAAGCGGATGGTCATAATGCCTGATAAGCGGAGAAAGTGACGGCAGAGTTCTTGAGTGGGAAGAACTTGAATCGGCGGTTCTATTGCTTCTGCGATTATGAAGCCACTGTGAGCTGAGCGTGGTAAGCCCAGACAAAGACGAACACTGCGGGCTACGATGTTGTTTAGTTTGCGTTCATTTGTCTGAGGCATACTTTGCATCGCTGGTAATGCATATGCGATGGCTTGTCCAACAAGAACTCTATGAACCTTCTGAAGGTATTCTGATGTGCCACTGTTGAGATCGGCCTCCCTGGCATGGCGCCGCTTAGATGTGAGACGGTTGCTGGACAGCGCTCCCAGAGGTGAACCAAAAGCGACAACGACACGCTAACCGTACTTAGAATTTTGCGGGGCGGACGTCTTCCCTCGTAGAATTCTTTAAACTTACCCGCCCGACTGATAACCTATGAATTGCTGTTTACAATCAAAGCGGCTTAAAAAGGGTGGCTATCTTTGTACGTCTTTGCTCGTCGGAGTGCCGCGGACAATGGGCCAAGTGACTGAGCTCCATGTTCGAGTGCGTTGTCAAGTTCCCTATGCTGCCACCATGCCACTGTTTTTAGAAACCACGGCTTGCCTGGCGCCATTAACTCCTCACTGCAACGAATTGCGGATTTGATTTCTACATAGAACCCAACATCTTCTCGCTGTGCTGTGTCGTGCGCCTGGTGCAGTGTTTGTGCAGTGTTTTCTCCCTCACCACGGTACGAACCGGGCGTGCCTCTCCCCTCTTTTCCTGAGTTGGGAAGGAGGTGGTGTTTCACCTTCTCCTATTGATGGCGGTGGTGAAGAAGACAATTTTATTGGACCATCCTTGGTCTCATTGTTTCCCCTGCAAGAGATCCTAGGAAGACATGTGCTTAAAAAAATGGTTCAAATCTGCATTTTACACCGCAAATATAGTCGAAAGATGACAGTCTCGCGTCTGGAGAGAGTGAACAAGACGTTTATTTAATGTTCTGCGCAAGAAAATTGGTGAAGGATATTCTGGAGGCGCTGCGTTAGAGTGCCTCGAGCATGTAGCGGAGGCGAACGAGCACATTGAGACACGTTAGACACAAGCGCCATCTGGCAGTTATCATCGAAAACGAACGCGTGCTGCCCGCAGATAAAGATGCGCGTCAGTCTTGGAGGTGATAAGGTGAAGAACGCAAAACGAAGTGCAGGTGCCACCACCATGACGCCGTAGCAAAGCGTTGGAAACACCTTTTTGAGCATCGCGTTGCACTGCCAGCGCAGCGCGATAAACGCTACATTCCTTATAGTTACTTGTGTGTGCCTCTTCTAGTATAAAGGCAGACATAGAAAACTTCGAAGTGTTGTTATGGCGCCTCAGATATGCGCAATAATTCATTTTTAATTTTACAATCGCACAACAATGAACGCTAAACCTTGAGCAATATTTGTGAGCGCTGCGAATGGGGTTGGCCGTTTGGTGCCGTTTGAGGTACCGTTAGGGCAGAGAAACAACAGACAGACAGACAGACAGACAGACAGACAGACAAACCAAAATTCTTCCGTCGAAGGTCCCCGATAAAGACTATCGTCTTTAATACACGTGCGAAGAGACGCTCGAGGCATGCTACCAAAAACATCATAGTATCACGCTACCTTGAACCTGTATGTAATGTAAATAAACGCTCCTGTTAACCGCACCGGCTCTCTCCTCGGCATCTCCCCGGGACTTTGGCTGGCTCCGGTCTTATGCGCAGACCCCAGACTACATCATCACCCCGTTTGGTTCCTGTAATAGATCGATCAGGGAACATTCAGCGTGTGGTTGACCCGCTCTTCAATGTTGGAGATATGAGGTCCCCAGGTTAGCATGCTGTCC